TTTAAATCCCCGGTATCAACTTCCCTCATTTGTCAGCGCCAATAAGTTTTCTATGGGTCCATACTATCGTTGCATACGGATATATGTTCTCTTTAGCTCTTGAATCCACTCGCATTAGCAACTGGTGGTTATCCACATAATATCTTGGCTAAGAGCTTTGAAGTTACAATGATAAGTTCCATCCGTTTAGACAAGGACACTGTAAAAAACATCGTGGTTTTTGACATAGTACATGACCCGCCAATAATGAATGGCTCAATCTTTCTTTAGATGTACTCTCAATTTCATTCATCGCAGTGCTTTTAAAATATAAGATCTCTGTGAAGCTGAATTGATAATAGGACGGGCTGGCGTTTTCTATGTCTCCCTTTCAATGTAACCGTAAAGTTTGCAAAAAACACAATTTGTTGTTCTCGCCAAATTGGCGAGGGGTTCATCTCATTCAGTATGCATCCGTTTTCATCCTTATTCGTGCTAACAGAAACTGGAGATTTTGATTCAGCTTGGATATTCACATAAAGTATGTGGTGTTTCTTCCCACAAATCACACACGGTTCGTTTTTTACATTTAGCTATTACATGTTTTCTGTCTAACATAAAAGCAACTGCGACTATTTAGGACTGCTTTTTGCCTTTCCTCAACATCATCTTTCTTGCTTTAACGCAATCACCAGATGCATGATTTCCAGCACAAAAAATACATCCTGGATTTTTTCAGATGTTGCTATTAGAGTAGAAGCAAAAGTATTTGGAAAATTCTCCACGGGTTTGAAACCAAAGGTGTTTAGCATTCCCCAGGCTTAGGTGTTGATATTAGTAAAGCACTGAGAGCTATAAATACTCTCTTCACCTCAATTCATCGAGCAAAAATGAAAGCAAACCACTAAATCCATGCGATGTTGACACATTTTTCTCTTTTTGCTCACTACTTTCAGATTCTCTCGACTGCGATTAATAACTCAGAATCTTGTCATGCTCTTAATGTATCATCCGGCAATGACGATTCGACTCGAGGATAAACATCGCCGCATATTTATCTCTAACAACACCCAGAACTTCTAAACGCTCTTAGTTTCGATTCTAAGTTATCATAGAGTTTTCGTACTGAAAATTTCTGCTGAGAGTTTTTTATAATATAACGAAAGTAGATCTCTACATAGACTTCTATAAGAGGGCTTCTTTCCCAAAACGCGATTGAGTTGGTCTAAAGCTTTACTATAACTTTCGCCACGGGCGGAAAAGCTTTTTTGAAACTCTTCAGCGGACCTTTTTCCATAACTGCAATAAATATGCAAATCATGATCATCAAATTGGGATCATTATCGATCTTTTAAACTGGCCCCAAAATCCTAACCAGCTGTTAATATCTCATCAAAAATCCGAAGTTTAAGCTAGGATAACGAATAGGTAGCTTTTGAGTAAGCTTTCATTAACAACAGAACCTTTTTCCTTTCAGAAAAGCGAAACTAATTTACTTTCTACCATTCTCCACTTATCAATATAGCATCCGGCTCAGCAAACTCGTTATTTATCACAGTTCATCTTTTTCAATTTTAATCGATTCTCTCTATAAGTCTGTTCTATTCAATTCATAGGTTTTGCTTTGTCCTCAACTAATTAAGTTCGAAATTTTCCGCCAAAGATAAACATTTTCATTCCTCAAAATCATTTAAAGCTTTGAAACAATCTCCTAAATTGAGATTGTTTCATTCAAAACTCCATATAAATAAACGAAAGAATTTCTACTTACAGATAAACATCCTGTCATGGACGCCAATGTTCAAAAATTCTCACCAAATTTGTTACCTCAAGAACTATTTATTACTCGGAATAACTATCTATATCTCTTAGTTATTTATGACTCTACAATAATTAAATAATTCCTTTACTCGAGGGCTCAAAGGAGGAAAACAAAAGTTACTTAACTCTCTAAAAAGAACAACATCAAAGTATGTTGCCATCTCTGAACATACTTTTACAAAACATAATAATAATAATATAATAGATAAAATAAAAAACCTATAAAGAAAACGATTACAGCTTGAAGCTTGGGCAATATTACTCAGAAGCTGCAGTTAGAAAAATAAACAAAAAATATTAGAGTAAATATTGTTCACCTCTATGATTGTAACCCGTCCTCAGGAAAAGCGCCGTAGATGGTGGCAGTACCACGGGAGGTGTAGACGTTGGTTGTAGTGTGTTGAGAGTTGAAGTGATAGCGTTGGGGTGGTTCGGGCTTTGCAAACATCATCCTATCTTGCCTTGCATTTGTGCTCCTTGCTTCAGAGCCTTCATTTCAGCGGCATTTCCTTTGTAGCAACCATTGCTGCCACTTCTTTGCCAGCTGTGTCTGTACACTACAGGTGGTGCCTATTGCTTGGTATGACCACCAGCTTCACGAACCCTACAATGCGACCACGTTCGAGTCGTTTATTGTCTATAAGGTCTCGATATCGTAAATGGCATCTTTAGTTGCTTCTTTACGGAATTACAATGGCAGCAACAAGAAAGAAAATTTTCTGCCTCTGTTAGTGGTTTTATACTTTGCAAATTGCGCACTAGAAATGCGGCTATAATCGCAATTCCTGTTTATTTATTGCATTGAAACTTTGATCATTGCATGTTTGATCAAGATGTTTGTGCATACCAAATTTCATCATGATCGCAAAAGTCCTTCTTGGTGCTTCGATTTTTTTTGAAGAAGAATGTATACATATATATGAACAAAAATATATCAGTTCTTGATAAGCCGTGATTCATATATATCGTAAGGCAACTGCTATTTGATGAGAGTTTAAAAGTTGTTAAAGTGTTATTCAAATTTTCAACTGCTTTTCATTTTTATTTATACTAAATATGCAAAGTAAATTATGTAGTAAAGTTGAAATGAATTGAATTTTCAGATTAAATATAAGAATGACAAAATTTTAAGCTTAAAGCAGTATTTATTCTGGAATGATTTTCATTTTTAAAGTTTTCATTAATGTTTTTAAGGCCTAATATTTTGTAAATATACTTGATTTTTTATTTTAGTGTTTAAACTATATAATCTGAATTTCTAATATTAATAACATATGTATTGGAATTTTGCTTGTAGTTATATTTTTCATGTAAAACTTTACCCATTCAGAGTTGTTATGTTGTCCCATATGCAGTGTAAATTTGATTGATTACTCATGAATTGTTGAATATGAATTTGAAACAACAAATAGAAATTTGCACTTCTGGGTTAGAAAACTAATTGTTTTGGTAATGAAGTAGTCTGTGGTAACACAAACTATGATGCTTAAAAAGATAGTTGTTTAAGGAAGATAAAGGACCAAATGTCACACTTAGTGGCATGTCTGAAGAACGCTGTGTGTGTGGTCAAATATGTGAGTAATTAAGATGAACTGTTGTGAAAAATTAAATTATCACTAAATTCCAGGATGTGACTAAAGAAAGCCATAGATGAAAAAAATATCTGCACTAACTGTATCTTTTCATTATGTCGCCATATCACTTCACGAGGTGCAAGAAACACTGCAAAATTGCAATCCAATTTGAATTTGAAAGTGATGAATCAATCATATATGCATCGTTAGATTATTATTTTTCAAAGACTTCAGAATCACCTTTATGGAAAATATTTAAATTCAGTTTTATGGCAGACGAAATACAAGAGTTCCTAATGTCAGATTATTGAAAAATTAAGGTTAAGTTGTAAATATAGTGGAATTTTTAAATTTAATTTGCTTCAAATTCTCATTAATTATGGAATGATCTAATATACTATACTAGTTAATCTCTGTTAACCCTTTGTGACGCACTATACTTTAAAGTCGGAATTTCAACAAAAAAGTTGTATTCTGTCTATTTAGGCCTAAAGGAGTACACATGTGATATTTTGTAAAAATTGCACTTACCGTTTTAATTTTGTGGGTGTTCCATGAGGTGGAACACGTGCCCCAGAGCTCTTAAAGTGCGACTAAGCGAGCATTGCAGTGAAGCACGAAAATGAGTAGAAGCTTTTGTATAGTAATGAAAAACAGTGTATTGTGTCTGTATACATGGTTTTCTGTATATACACAATATTCTTGAATATATATGAATAAACAAGTCCTATATAAAAAAATATTAAAAATTTTTTTGATTTCTTAGCTTCATGAAATTGTTCAAAGCATGTCACACCTTTTTGATAGAAGCACAAACCAACTTTGCAGGTTTTGCACACAAAACTTTTGTGATGACTCGAGCTACTGATAAAATTCCCGCCTGAACACACAAATATTTCAAGATGCCCATATTAAGGCTTTCATAAAACAAACCACACCTCACCCTCAATACTGCTTTGTTTGAATTCATTCCCCCCAAAACAACAGAAACAGAAAACTTATACAACAGATGTTTTCTCCTAAGAACGGATGTTCTGATGCGTAATAGCATGAGATCGCTAAAGGCGCAGTGTTCCTGCTGATGGAACACCCAGTTTTATTCGATGATTCTGCACATGCTTTTTGTATGAAAAATTTTTAAAAAGTATAGAACACATAATATAGAGTACAGCCATTAAAATTATACAGAAATTTTTTTTCAAGCATCACAAAAAAATATTACATTCGCAATAAGAAAATTACTTGAAAATAAGTGGATTTTAATAACACATCATAAGTGAAAATTTTGGATCTCCTTGTGATATGCTGCCACTATTTAAAAAGAAAAGTTCAAAGTATATTATAAAGGCATTTTTATCCATTTCTGGTTGAATTTAATGGTTTCAGAAGCGATTTAAGTTGGGTGTTTCATGTAAAGGAACACTGAGCAACAAAGGGTTAATGGACACTAACCATTAACTACTAATTCCTGAATTTTTAGACTGTAAAAGTTAGAAGACAGAAATGCATCCATTTAGTGGGTATTCCTTTGATAGTAGACTGTATTTATAGTAGACTGTATTCAACTGTATTTATATTTTTAGCTATTGTGTACAACTTGTACAATAAAAATAAAGTGACCAAAACTGTGAGGATAAAATAAGCACAGAGACCTTTTAAAATAATGATCTGCTGTTTTGCTTTATTTATTAATTTATTTTTTAGGTGGAGGGAAATTTTGAATTCGGAATCAGATTGAATAATTATCATCTAGTGTAATGAATTAATATTTTAACATAAAACACTATTTAAAAAACAGCACAAATTTTTGTGACAAAAATGTCTCCCCCAAACATGTTATAATGGAATTTTTCAAATTTCCTTGTATCTGCAAGTCCTGACTAGTCACCTGTATCAGTGAATATAGCACATATGATATGCTTTGGTTCCTGTTAAACAGTTCTTGCATCATTGTTAGTTCTTATCACTGCATTATTACCTCGTATTTCGAGTTCTTCAACAGTTGTTATAGCAGGAGTTGCATTTGTCCTGTGTGAAATAAACTAACAACCAAACCACCATACAGAAGTTGATCTCGGGTATGGAGGATCACCAAAGTCCACCTAAAAGTAAATTACATGCTAAAATGCAAAAGACAGAGTATTTTTTTTTATTAACATTTTAAAAATGTTTTGCTTTTATTTTGCAGTGGGCAGTTTTTCCAACATTTTTTTATAAACATATTGGTAAATGAAGTGCTATTTTTGTTTAGCAAGATTTGTTAATTGTTTTAAGTAACTAAATTTCGTAACAGAGTTTTCCAAAAATGTAAGACTCATATACGTATACAGGAAAACCCATATAGGGTAATGATTTAATCACTAAATTCTGTATTTTATAGTGCATGATCTGATTCTGGCTGTGGTGCATGCTCTGTAATATTTTCACGGTTTTTCTGCAAGTACCGTTTTACGGGACAATTGTGGCCATCCTAAGAATAAACTATGAATATTTATTTAGTATTAAGCTAGAGGTTGATCATTGCAAAAATCATCACATAATATATGTACGAAATGTCACATTTTCAGAGATTAATTATGAATAAAAATCCATTTTGGTCAAGTATTTGAATTTTATTTAATGTTCTTTTTTTGCAAATTAAGTCTATTTTAATAATGAACAAGATTTATTCACAAAAAAAGTTCACGAACAATCTTAATAAACATAACTAACTAAAAAGAAAAATATTCAGTTACATTTGCAATAATAATGGATTTACTAAAATCAGAGCCTTCATTTGCGTGCTTTCGTTGAGGCAAAAAATGTTTCTGAGTTTGGTTTTAATTGTTTATTCATGCTTGATGGTAAGAAGCAAAAAAAGAGTTTAATTATATTTGTCAAGACGTACTTCTTTTGTAATCGTTGATGATTTTGAGCGTTGACGATCTTACTATTGTAGTAACAGTTAACAAGAATCGCTATAAAAGTAAGAAAATTACACGTCCCAAAGAAGTCGCTGTAGAATAACGGTATTTTTTTAAATAAATTTTTTAAGATTCTTGAATGGCCGTAATATCAGTAAGCTAATTTTTACACAATTGTAGTGCGTTTGTAAATTGTAAATTCAGAATGAATATCTACTAAATTGGCACATTTTTGTACTTATTCATTATGTAATACACTGAGTAGTGTGAAAAGGAGAGTTCACCGACAGGATCTCAAACTCACAGGTGCAATGCGCGATAAGCTCGCAGGCGGATTGGGGAGGCGGACTACGCGGAGCCGTAGCAGATAAGAAAGGATGTTTCGAATTTCTTTATTTAGTGGTTGTGTGTGGTGTATTTAATTATGGCAAAGCACACTAGGGCTATCTGCCTAAGGGGAGGGATGCCTTCCCCTTAGGCAGATCTCCCTTCGTGGAGGACTTTCTAAGGGAAACTGGCTCGTATACACGTTACACATGGGGAAAACCACGAAAACGGCCATGCAGCTAGCCTGTCCGCGGGATTCGAACCTCGGACCGAACTACCAGTTCACGCTTTACCGCTCGCCGCTGGTGGGCCTTTATTAGTATAAAACCGGGATTCGAACCTGTACAAAAGGAGTTCATAGGGTAATACTATGATTGATTGCCTTAGTGCCTCCCCCATGATCTCTAGTCCCTTATTGGCAAGAAAAGATTAAAAAAATATTTTTTAGGATTGTCCCCCCACCACCCGTGCAGTTATTGCACCTCGACAATCCGAAATTTAGAACAAAAAACTATGCATACTTATGTAAGCTTTCCATAAGTTTTTTCAAGAGGTCGAAAGTAACACTATGCTAAAATACCTATAGTGTTATGAAAACTTAAAAAAAAGTAAAAAAAATATTTATAAACTAAATACTTAAATCATTAAATCATAAATTAAAAAAATAAATGAATACAGAACATCAAAAACTGCAAAAAAAAATTATGAAAAATTAATGAATAAGATAAATGCATTAAACATTAAAATAAAAATATATACAACAAAAGTTAAATATAAAAATTTACAAGTTAAATATGCAAAATATATGCCAAAGTACATTAAACTTTACATGAAAACTAAATAATCTCAATTACGGAAAGAAATTAATATATAGATTAGAAATCAAATAAAAAAAATTAAATGGCATAATGCCCATAAGCATAGCTGTTCACACTATCTATCAGATAGCGCTTATCGTCATAGGGCGACAAAGTCACTTTGTTGGCTTCAACAGAATGAGTTTGTGACTCTGGCTAGCAATTTGATATTTTACATCTCGTGATCGTTTCTCATTGAAGAGACATTCTTTGTAGTTTATATGTTTAATATGCTTCCCTAGCACAGTTCTGCTCACCCCTTTTGCTGTTTTCTTCTCTCTCCACAGGGAGTCAGCAAAGAATACATTTTGGCTTTTAGTCCGACGAACTCGTAAACAAGTGCTCCATTCAATTCGTTTTTAAAAAGCAGCCAATTCGCCGTCCTCTCCTGTCTCGCGTAGAGGGGTGCTCCTTCGGATACTCGCAAGTATCATACAAATCTAAATGTAGACTCATATCCCTATAAATGTCCTCTGTTTGCACAGAATAAGTCAATGAATCTGTGTCGGTGAAAAGGAGTTGAGCTTTTGATCCATAGTTCTGCTTCATGTGTTCGTAATGAAACTTATACATGTGCAGCTTGCTCAGTTCGAAAATGGCAAAACCCGCATAAATTGGTCGATTCAATATAATGACATTTTTCAGACGTTGAATGCCTACTAAGTCTTCATCAAAGATTCTAAACTACTTGAAAGATGGAGCCGTCTTTCTTACATTATTGACAGTTTGAAACATCCACCTTATTTCTTACGTTTTCCATTGTTTTTCCGTACATTGAGTTATTCATCATTTTGAAAAAATTCTTTTCAAATGTGGTATTCACTTTTTTTTCTTTCTTCGGCGTTGAATTGAATATATTGCAATAACCAAGGCTTCTGTAAAAATTTTAAGATCTTATGCACTTTGGTTAATTTTAAACCTTTTTCCAAATAATATTTCAAATTTCTGTAATGAATTACATAAATTTGCTTCTTTTTCAAATTAGTCACTAATTTCTGTATTTTTCTTGAACTTTTTCGTCCTTCCTTCTGCAATAGAGAGAATGAATAGGGAGATAACTCTTCAGTTGTTATGCAACACTTTTCAGGAGCTAAAGGATACTCATTATGCAGATCATGCAATTTCCGAGGGTATTCCAAATCTACTTCTAAAATATAGCCGACAGCTCCATCTTCAGGAGATGACAAAATAGCTTCTTTATCAATGGCAGATGGTGAGATCTATTGAAATCCTCCATCAGGCAGGGCTTGAGACACAGCCCATCCATATAAATCATTCGCATCCAGCTATATAATATAACTGGATGGTTTGCTTGGATCATAATGGGGTAGATATTTATTGTTAGCTTCTGCCCATCGGTGAGATATCATGGAAATACCTCTTTGGATGAACAGGTGCATACCCAGATCTGTCAGAAGCTCTAATTGAATTCTAGTCATTTTTAAACATGCCTGACACGCTAGCCCCGGTGACGTCATAACATGAGCGTAGTCCAACTCATAATTTTTTATACATAAATTTCGAAAGTTTTAAAATATGTCCGCTAAAAGAAGAACATCGGATTTAACATATAAATTGTGATAGTCTCCTAAAGATTGGAGATTTAAAGTCTCCCAAAAATTTAATGCATGGGAGTAATCTTCATCAGAAATGCTTTCCTCCCCGAGGACATTGTAAAATGCCTCTTTCGGTGGTAAGCAAGTCTCTTCAAATTTTTTGAATGATGTCATGTACTCATAACTATACACGCCCTTGCGCCGTAGCAGTTCACATTCTTCCTTTTCAAATAGTTTTGTTAAAATATGAAAATTTTCTGCCTTCATGTTGTTCACCAGCTTTTAAAAAAGGGTATTCAAAAATTGAACAATCTACAAACTGTAGACTTAGTTTATCGTCCCTATTTACTAACGAGAAGGAAATGTATTTTTCCATACTCGTTGCGATTTTTCCATACTTCGTGATCTTTCCCGTCTTTCAGTCCTTGAAGGATGTGATGGGCATCGTAATTTTTTAAATTATGAAAAATCACAAGTATATGAATCCCTGCATTTTTCAGACGATATTGTAAATTGCAGTTGGAATCCAGAGCCCTTCGGTATTGCCCAGTGATCTCTCAATCTGTCCTTCCCCAACGCGTTTTTGCAAATAGAACATCGAGTCGCTGAGAGAAAGTTTTGCTCGGTATTTTTAGTGAAGATCATGGGAGCGACGTGCGTCAGCTGCCCGACTAGTTATTTTTTGACTTAATTGAGGGATTGCACAAAATGTTCCGCGGCATTTTCGCCTCTGTATACACTCACTAGTTTCAAAACGGTGCTGTTAGGTCCAATCAGTACATAGGCATACCCACACGGCTGGTGTTGTGCAATTTTGTTTGTAAATGAAATGCTTTCACACTGCTGCGCACTGTCCATCGGCACAATCAGGGATTCAAATCCGCATATATGATGAAGGGCGCACGATGCTGTAACTGCATGATCTTGAAGGAAAGTATATTGTTCCCTTCATCTGGCACTTTCACATGTTGAGTAGAATGCTCGGCGCAATACTGAAGGTGTTCCTTCAACGTCTCTTCCTTCTGAAATCGGTGCAGGCAACGATAGCAGGTATGTTAACAACCATTATGTTTATTGGTATAACCCAGGAGAGGTGACATGTTCCGATTCACGCAGTAATGCTACCTATCTTCGCTGATGAAGAACAAATTGCACTCCTCTTTCGTGTCTTTAGATATATGCAGGAGGAACACTTCTTGATCTTCATACCCGAACACGTTAATTCGCAAATTATTTAGCTTTTCTATAGATGCAATTTTATGCAGAGGAACAGGGCAGGTGGTGTTCCCCAACTGGATGCTCGATTCGTGAGGCTTGTAATGAGAAAGGCGGTGAGGAGTATTTTGCCAAGAAATATTCATTTTGTGAGCGATTGAACACTACAGAAAACATTTATCATCCTCATAAGTTTGAATATTTAAGATGGCCTTTTATCGGTCAGTTTCTTAGGCAGAGAGAT